TACTTCCTCAGAGCACAGCATTTTATGGTGGTCTTGCTATAACGCTGTAAGCAATCTGGTGTAGAGCATCAGCAGAGTAAAATCGTTTGTTTTCTTAAATTTTTTTCTTTATTTTATTAAATTTAGTGGCTACCTTTTTTGAGATGCCTGCAGGTGCAGTAGTCCTTTTCAACTTCTTGGTACGTTCTGGAGCCACAGCTTCAACACAAAGCTGAATGCGATGGTAGAATTCATTACAAGCAATTTGCACATTCTGTGCTAAGAAGAATGGATCCCAATATGAAGACCTTATAAGATCCGAGAAAACTGACCAATTCACAGAAGAGAATGGGCGGTAATTGATCACTGATTCTGTCGGTTTAGAAAGAATTTGGAAAAGAACAACCAACGATGTTATGATCACTACAGGACAACTTGTCACTGATGTATGTGGACACATGCGAACATCCCATAGTAAACTATTAGATCAAGTGTGTTACCAAGCCGGTGTAGGTTCTCTGACGTGCTTACCATCCAGTCGTCCAGAGGTAGAATAAGAGGATTGTGTTTTTGAGGTTTATATGTTAAGGGGACCATAGGGCATTTCGGGCATATTAAAATCCCCAGCGGTTATTATTTTATGTGTATGAGAGGCAGCTATAAGAAAGGTGTCCACACATGTATTGGTCACGGTGAGTGTAGACACGATGGAGGTCTGTAAATACAACCTACTAAGAGATTTGTTGGATTAATAGAAATTGTAATCCACACCGAATCAGGAGTGGTTCATTCAGAAGCAGAACCAAGTATTTGTCTTTGACGTAGATTATGCAGCCACCACCTCTACCATAAAGGTGGTCAGATTCTTGGTTGAGCACCAAGGTTAGTTTGACGGGGCAGGAGTCTGTCTCATTCTCGGCCGTGCGCAAATTAAAGAGCAACAAAGACAAAATAGGCTTTATACAGCTAAATGGGTTGCATTATCAGCATTTGTACTATCGGTGTGGATACACTGAATGAACGGAACCAGTAAACACTACATAAATGCAGATTAATGAATTAAAGTATGTAGGTGTCATACAAGGAGCCGCATGCGCAAAGCATCTATATCTTAACTTTAACAAAGTAAGAAGTAAGGCAAGATCGTGGTATGACGCGAGGAAGCGCGAGGTCATAAATCCCAAATTTTGTGCGTGTGTGCGAGACAGCTGACGCTTATGGGCAGCGGATGCAAGCGGTCACTTAGGACATACGAAGACGAATTGATGCAAGCGTTGAAATATTTATACCCACAATAGTATCGAGTGTGGTCTCTAGACAGATCACTGACTCTAGAAAGCACTTCAATTTATCGCACAATCAAAACATGGTCCTTTTGCTGTGAAACAGTACAGCCATTGGGGTAGAGGCGTAGCATAGTGGAACGGTCCGCATCTGGTTGCATGTCATAGTGCGCGGCTTTTTTAGTTAAGTTGAGTGTCTATACAAAGTGTAAATTCCTCAAAATAACTCACTTGACTGAACTGACTACGCGTTGCTGACGAGAACGCTTGAGTTACTACGTGGGAAGAGGACAGTTAACTGGAGTGCGGTAGGGGAGTGACACTTCCCAAGGCACCTTCGGGTCTGTGGCGAAGGAAATGTCCTGTCGACCTTTTTTCTGGACTAGCCAGTGTTTTTGCAGTCCAACGAGCGCGCCGACGACCCACCGATGATACACTCTGGTCCACATGACCGTCATAAATCATAAATAACAGAATCCTGGACCCAGCGAACTTCGTTTCATACCCTATCTTGGAAGCCCCCTGTTCAAGCCCATGGTACTATTCGCACCCATTCTCACCTCTTTTTTACCCCCCCCCCCCACTGACAGCTCCACCGAACGCTTCCCTTTTTCATCCTTCTAAGAGTAGGCCCTTGTTGGGCACCTGAAAACAAACTCTTTCAGTATTTTACAACTGTGAATATTACTAATGTTGAACCTTCAAAAGATCCATTTGTTTTACTGACGACGTTTGCGTTATCATAAAATGACTTCGTGAGTCCCGCGCTGTACAGTTTCTTGCCCTTGTTGATCCGATTCCTACTTTGTAGCCTGCACAATACACCATAGCTTCAGTTGCCTCCAGCTTCTCCACTCCCCCGCATTCGACACGTTTCTTACATGTCATTGGTATCAACTAGTATCCCAGGTCCACCCAACACCGCGCTTTTGAATGGTCAAAGGCAGATCCACTTCTGTTCAATGCGAACAAGTGTAACGCTGTACGTGTCAACCACAAGCCCACTAATGTATTTAAGTTTGGAGACCACATGTTGTATACCGACATACAGGAGCATAACCTAGGGGTGCTGATACAAGACCATCTTGACTGTTCGGCGCAGTATTTGAAGGTGTCCAAAACTGCGAACCCACATGTTACCATCTTACGGAGGGATTTCGGGATACACAATCCCTCCATTTTCCCAATTTGCTTAATGCGGATGTAAGGCCCCATGTAATGTATGCGATCCGGGCTTGGCAACCTTGGTTAAAACGCGATCTGACCGTAATGAAAACCCCACAGTGAACAGCAGCGAAAAATGTAAACGGATTGCTCCACCTGCCATAACATATGCGAATGAAAGCCCTGGGAATGTACAGCGGAAGGGAGCGCCGTCTACGCGATGGTCTCGTCCTGGCGTTCCAAATCTTGAAAAACACCGGTCAAGCTTGCCGCCACCTCCTGGAACTTAGCCGCAACAAAGAACTGAGGGGTCATAAGCTGAAACTGGCCACCCAATAGTGTCGGATAGAATGCCGTTGGAATTACTTTCTCCCTAGAATTTATCAACCGTAAAATGCTCTTTTGCATTTTAATTTTCTGCTCTCATGCTACCCATGTTTAAAAACCGCTTAGACGATGCTGTACACCATCTACTTTTGACTTCTGTTCATTGATTGGAGATAAGACGCTGACAAACCTTGTGCTTACTAACCACCAAGAAATCGGTTTAGACTGATATATTTTTGTGTTAAGGTCGGTAATATGGCGAGTCCACAGATGCGCGTTTCACTTTAGGGTAAATTTATTTTTTGAAATTAAGTAATTCACACAAACTACCCCACGGGCCTTGTCAAATCTTAGCTTTCTTATCCGCATTTTAGCATTGTTCCATTGTCAAGTGAAACCCACTTGCACCCGCGGTTTGTCTGCCTTATCGATCAACAGTGGTCCGTTTTGCGATAAGCCGTTTAACTTGGCTTGTGATGGTTGCATGTCAGCGGCTAAGTGTCGGCGATTGGCTAATGAGTACGAAAGCCACAATTTGAGCCGTAGCCTTCTTAGAAATAAACCTGTGGGAGGAAGTCTAGGATCGACGGATAGCGCGGAGAAAATTTTTCGACCGAAGTTTCGTAGCACTGAGAAATGTTAAAAAACAACGGTGTTCCACGTTTGGGTGCGAGCACGAAACGTGCGGAAACTAATTGAGCTATCAGGAATCATGATCTGTAGGGAACAATTCCGTAACAACGTGTACTTTGAATACACGAATTTAATCCGATTCGGATGATCGTGTGATGGGTACGCTGAGCGATGAGGTAAAGTAGGTGATGAAATGGAGCTCGTGAGGCGACACACACGTTCAGATTCAAGCTCCAAAACGGAGTGGATGGACACGGTAGGGATTCCGTACAAGGAAGAAAATTCAGTGTAATAAACAGAAAAGATACAATGGGTATCTTTCAGCGGAGTCAAATACTTTTAGCACTGGTACACCTCCATGACTCGCTAAAACTAGATGTAAGGCCGGTACACATGTACACATAGATCAAACCATGAGAGAGTTACACATACGAATTTCAGGGAACAAAAGAGCGTTTCTTGACCACCGACGCACGCGTTTGCATTCCAGACACTATAAAGAGATTCGAACGTTGATATGCATGCATTAGACACATGTCATCAGATCGACTTGGATAAGGTATAATTAGGGGGGCATACAAGCATTGCCCCAACGGTTGATTGCCAAGGCGATAGAAATGGTCAAATCGTACAGCTGCGTGAATCGAATAGTAGTTAGAACGCTTAAGTGCCTAGGGGTCGATCTTAATCCGGCCAGTCTGACGAGCGTCGATGCGTGTATCGGATTGGAAGGTGCAATTAGACTCATCAATGTTACCACTCTTAGCCTATCTGTCAATGCCATGACGCCCAATGGAACACCACCGCTATTCCCACTAGTCAAACCATTTGAGATGACATCCCCCGCTGTGACTTCAAGTACGTCTTGGCCCATGTCTCCGCTATTGCGGGAATCCTACCTGTTCCCTATATAAGCCGCTCCAATTTCACGCTGATTCACCTAACCTGACGAAGCCTTTGGGTCAAAAGGCACAGTGAAAACACCCAACCGATTGTTCCGTAAACTGGTATTGTTGTACGAGGTAGACCGATTAAGATAAGTTCCCACAGACTCCTGACTGGTGTGTGTTGTATTGTCAGAACACGCGATACTAGCCAAATAGTGCATGTTGGCGAAATGGACAGAAAACCGGAGAAGGCAAATGCCGAAAGCAGAAAAGCACAATATGTCATAGTCGTTATCTATGGGATTTTATGGGAAGCGGGTTTTTCACAAGTGTTGTATGCTTTGGGGCCAGGCGACAAGAACAATGTTCGGTTACACAAAATAAATATACCAACTGTGTATACCCACCTGTAAGCAGTTGTACATTCGCCGGAACATGGAGTTGGTTCGCTTTGTGGCACAGTAACAAGTACGAACACAGTTCCGTGGCGCCTACTGGTTTCGGTTTTTCAAAACCTGGATTTTGGTCGGCTTAGGTTGGATCTAACCCTAACAGAACCTCATGTTTTAGTTGCCGCGAGGAACCCTCAGTTAATTCGAGTATGTGAAAAACGACCGCGGATACCCAATATACTGAAATCAACCGCTAAACATGTTCTGTCACCGCAACTGAGGTTTAACGAGGGAGCTCGGACCGTTGCACACCTACAACGTGCACGTCAATCGCTATGCATAGAGCAGGCCGTGATAGGCTCATCTCAAGGTCACTTCTCTTGCCAAACCACCATCGCCCATATATGTGGTCCGCTGCACATGGTCCCGCATTCCGTGACATGTCGGTGCCTACGCCTGTCGTTCCGTCTAAGTCCGTGCCGTTCTCCAAGGACGAGTTGGAGGCGATTTTAACCTCGATGACTCATGCGGCTTGGTTGATGTATGGTGTAAATCAGCCTTCTGTCTATCTTGACAAGTCGTTGTGGTCTCATATTGCTGATGATCTGCACTCACGAGGATGGCCGCGTCGAACTTGGCAACAGATCAAGGCAAAGGGGAAACAGTTGGTCATGTCGACCCCTGCAGTTGGAAAACCACCTAGTGATTCCCAGCTTGTTCATCCAGGTTCTCCCTATTCATCGGACCAGAATGTGTTATGTGAGAATACTAGTGTGGTCAATTGCCGGCCTCCCGAGACCAGTCCACTGAGATCAAAGTCTGGGCTTAAGTCACCACAGATGCTCCCCACGCTAACTCCAGCTCCATCATTGATGCCGCACTCACAAAATACTCCCCCCACAGGCCCACAAATCCTTCGTGTCCAATCGACGTCCCAATCTGGAGGACTGTTGAGCGTGCCCACCCAAACCGGTAATCTCATTTCAGGTCCGCAGATATGCCCCGCTAGCTGTTTACCAGTGTTCGAGCAAAATGCAAAGCAATCAAGTCCCTGTTTCACGCCACCTCTACTATCTGGATATCCATCCACACTCCTTGTCTCACAAGTTCCTGCACATCGAATGGGTTATCCACCGGATGCGATGGCTTCATCAAACAGCTTCTGCAATTCGGGAGTGTCGCCCGCATTCCAGACATCGCCCAGGTGAGTCACTCGGTATTAAGATCCAAATGCGAGAAATTCTTTTTATGAGTAGCAATGTTTGCATCGGCATTTATCTGTCAGTTGGATCGCAAACATTTCATCACTGTTTTTCGTCTTAGAGTATAGCTCTCTTCAACTTGGTTGCTTCAATTTCATTTATTATCTCTCACCGGGAATATCTCGCACCACCAGTCTAGATTTCCGCCACTGAACGCTTCCCTCCTGTGATACCTATTTCACTATCACGTATTCATTCATCCGCCTAAGGGATGTACGTTGGCCTCACCAACGAACGTTACATACGCAGCGTTTACTGTAGTCACGTCGGGTGTCTCCGTGGACGATACGGAAGTGTGCTAGTCAACAGTTGTCCCGTTTCATGTGCCACTAAGTGAACCAGGGTCCCTGGAAGTTCGACATTCGTTTGATCGTTCTTATGCAAACAGCGAACGGCAAACGCCTAAATTTCGATAAATTCATCAGAGATCTAAATATGCCGCTTCTTCACTAGTTTACTGCTTAAAACCTCATAAGTATTACGGTATTTCCGAAATTTTCCACTACTTTTATCTAGTCCCAATTTAATATTTCTGCCATAATATACTTCCTCCCGTTTGCTTTTAGCCAACTCCTCCAATTAACTGTTAGCCGAAAACAACTTTTGCCATACCAAGGCAGGGGATTTTTCGTACCGCATTTTGACCACTATCGACCCTCATCATTTGTGAACTAGGCTAGCGGTAGTTTCGAAATCCACAAAATCCATCTACCCGATCCAAACCCGGGCTGTTGTCCGATCTCAGGACAGTTTGTATCTATAGCTTTTTTGCTGCGTGTACACCCACACTTCAGGTACTACGCATGTTAGCTTAGCGTGACGAGTATGCAATCGATCATTGTTATTCAAATCTCCGATCTACCCAACTCCATATGGAGTTGGGATTTTCATATAAATCGATGCGACTTGGTGGAGGAAGTGTGGATGCAACATATTCTGCGTTATTTATCCCCTCGACCGAGTGTCCAATCTGCCGTACGACTGAATTGATTAAGTGCTGAATGTCTTTCTTTGTTCGCTCAGGCTTCCCGCTGTTGATCAAATGGTTCCCACTCCTCTGCTCCCATTGAAATATCAGCATCAGCTGCGAATCAATGCCCTTAAGTTGGAAATACTTGAATTGAAGAAGGAATATTGGTCGAAGAAGCTAAAATAGATGTGACGTGGCCTACCGCATACCAATTTGTCGAATAACAGCAGATGTCTTCTTTCATGCACGAACCAGATCCCCGCCTCTTCCACCACCACAAGTTATATATATTTTTTCAGCAATTCCTTGTTGTCTATCGCTTTTTTATTCTTCGATTTGGCTGGATTTCACCGAGCTCATCAGTTATGCTGTTTCTTGGTTCTGTATCAGCCTAAACCCTTTCCCCCTTGTTCTGATTGTTATTTGGCTGAGCCAAATAGAGACCAAATGGACTAACGGATTTTGCTTTTTTCTCGCCTTGTGTATCGTATGTAAATGTCAGTAACGCGATTTCTGTGCAGCGTTATCACAGTCCAAATCTATCGTTTTACTCGCCCCAACATATCCCGTTCAATAACCTGTCTTGTCGATAGTCATCCGCTTTGCAACACTAGGCTGCTTTTTCACCCGTCTTTTTAGTAATCGACTTGCTGTTCTGGATGAGAAAATATCGCCTAGCTTCTCACTCAATGCGTGTGCATTTCCCCGCGATACGAATGGATGTTGGAATATGAGCAGAGAAATGACCAGTAAAACCGTAAGTTGACCACTCAAGGGTTTGGATCAAATTAGTCAACAAACAGAGGTCTGGATCCCTGAGATTTACCTGGTGCACGTTCAAGCAATGAAAATAAAACGGTCAAGTTAGAGAGGTGGCCAGTATACAGAGATGGTCAACTTCGGGGTTTTCACTTTATTTCATCCAATTCATGCTAGCGAGTTTGGTGTAACGACCTGAATATTCCCCCGTATGATGTGTTATGTATTACCAATTTACAGTTTTGTTTTGTACCCAAAAAGTAGCGTTTTTCTGTCGCACGTTGACCACTTTTACCTACATAAAAACACATCCGGAACGCTATCCGAACTCTGCCTCCTCGCGTCTCCCTAGCTAACCTTTCTTTGGATGCCTGTTAGCCTAGTAAGCTTTTGCGTTTCAGCTAAAAACGTATACCTCGCCTATTTTTCTGACCTCTGTTAGATGTTGTGCGATTTTGGCTCCCATCCGTCGATTGCGCTATAAATATGTTTCGCGGTATTGCTTCAGCCATAGTTGGATCTTATCAGTTCCGGTTGCCGAAATCTGTGCCTAACCATATGCTGAGACCCATGCAGCAGATGCGCGTAGGAGCAACGGTCCAGCCTTAGTGTGCCTTTCCGCGGATCTCGTTGATATTGTGGTAACCACGCCTATTTATCTGATGGCAAATGTCCGATGGGTGTATGGTTAATGACCGGAGAAGTGTCGATATATGGAGTATCATTTTCGGTCTGGTTATGAGTTAATTAGCTTCATCACGTCTAGTCTCAGTCAATCAACCATCACACATCTGGAAAAGCGCTGTACGGCGTTTCATCTTTTCGGGCATCTTCAGCAATGCGCTTTTCATCTGAACCCCGTGATGCTCGAATCCGCAACTCGACTGTTATCAGTGTGGTTGAGACCACTGAGCTACGAAGTACGGTAGCGACCGCCGTGACTAGTTTATTCTGGTGTCCAGATGACTCTACTATGATGAAGTAAGCCTACCGCAACCTCAATGAATGTGGTCTACATGACAGGAGCCAGCTCTTGTTCCATCCATTCCGGTATCCAGATGTGACTACTTCGACACGATAAGTCTGACGCAACCTCAGTGAATGTGGTCTAAATGACTGGGAAATTCTGGGTTATTCACTTCTGGTAAGCGGATGATGCTGGCTCAATGCGGAAAGTCTGTCACAATTCAATGAATGTGTTCTATTAGGCGGTACCCAGCTCTTGTTTGTTCCATACTGATCGTCGAAAGATGTTGCTTCGATGCAGTGAGTCTGCCGCAACCTCAATAAAGGTTTCGAATTCGTGGAAGATGATTGGAACCGATCGAGTAGTCATGAGATCAGAGAGGTTTGGAAACAATCGGTTGGTATAGTAGTTTGGTAGCGTTTCGATCTTGACACAAGGTCTTTGTCAGACCAGGTGAATTCGTATAACATTAGAGTGGGATATCTTAGCGAACAGGGACGATAACCGAGTTACCCTACATTTGAGCCAAGATGCCATTACGGTAACAGTTCGTGATGTCACCTCAGCTGGTTCACTCACAGTGGGAATAGTACAGGGGTTGCTTCGGGCATCATGACATTGACGGATAAGACCATAGGTCTATCGAAGCCCTTGTGTCAAGGGCGAAACGTTACCAAACTACTATTCCAACCGATTATTTCCAAACCTCTCTGAATTCAAGTCCACTTCACCGGTTCCAAGTATCTTACAAGAATTCGAAACCGAATACGGACCCCGTGTTCGAAAACTGTCAAGTGAATTCGTTCGATTGGCTGGCCTTGAAGCGAACTGGGAGAATCATTGTGTCTTCAACATGAGATGTCTTAAAACCAATCTGATCCCCAAATATCTCACAGTGAAACCTCCGGACAGTACGTACACCTATGCAAGGATTTCCTTTAATGCTTCCAAGGCCTTTCTAAGACAGTGAATTTACCTGGTGACCATGCGTTTAAGCGAGATCCGCATCGACACAAGTCGGCTGAGCCTGGATCTACGGTCCACTATAACGCCTCTCGACTACAACCGAATAGTCAATAAGGCTTCAGACGTCAAATTGAAACAAGGGCAGGATGCAAAGCAAAGACAAATGCGTAAGTTCGAGCGTTTACTGTCTGTGCATCCTAATGCTATCGGTCCTACTGACAGTTCCGGGTCTATTAGTACCTATTGTCATGTAGCTAATATGTCAGATAGGGTTTTGAATGAAACGGAATGTAGATTGGTGGAGAAAGGTTTGATATTTACCATCAATAACTCTAAGATATATGCAGAAGGGATTATCTCAAGCATTGAGAGCGCGGTGACAAAGTTGTCCGCTACGAAGGCAGAGAATATTCGGGCACAGTTATTGAATATCATTAAGTTTCAGCAACCGGGTGAGCCAAATCTTCCGCAAACTGAACATATCACATTAAATTCCTTGAAGGAAGATCGCAGCATTGTACTTACAAAGGCTGATAAGAGGAAGGCACTGGTTGTAATGAATAGGTCAGAATATTTGGAAAAAATGGGACAACATTTGGATGTAGGTCCATATAAAGTAGTTGTTGATAAGACCGTGGCGTCAGTAATGAATAAGAGTAAAACGGAGATTGGTAACTATGTAAGAACCGTGAAGGAAGATTTAGGGGTGGGCAAGTGGTACAGTCTACACCCAAAATCAACTTTACCTCTGAGGGTTAATGGCTTGCCAAAAGTTCAAAAACTCGAAGTTCTCGTACGGCCCATAGTCGACGGTATAGTCTCCCCGACCCATGAACTTGCGAGATATTTGGCAAGGCTATTGCAGCCTCTAACAGATCAAACGAGTACATTCGTGAAAAACTTATGATTTCGCTCAAAAGATGAATTGACGGTCAGCTTCGCTGTCACATCACCAATGTACAGAAAGGAGAGGCGCTAGGAATAACGCGACGTCTTCTAAATGAAGATGTCACACTGAGTAATCGGACGAAACTAACGGTTAACTAAATAATCGAGGGTATGACAATGTCTTAAGATGTCTTCGTTTTTCAGTCGAAGCTGTACAGTCAGGAACAAAGTCTCGCCATGAGATCGCCAATGTCCCCTGTACTGTCGAACATGCATATGATAGATTTTGAGAACAGGGCGTTAACAAACACCATTAACTCACCAAACGTATGGCGCCATTATCTAGACGACATCTTTGTACTCGTTAAACGGCATAAGAAGGACGAGTTGCTTGATCACTTAAACTCCATTGATGAGAGAATACAGTTTAATATTGAGCTGGGATCTTGTATCGGTACGATATCATTTCTTGACTGCGCGGTTCACAGTAATGGGGGAAATCTAAAGAGAACGATATATCGTAAGCGTTCTCCACTGCAGTTCGGGTCATCCGAAACAGGTTTATGCTGTGATGACTTCAGCGCTGTTCTACAGGGCACAAACCTTGCGCACGATGGAGGAGGACAAAAAGGCTACGCGGAAAGTGGCAATGAGCAAACTATTAGAAAGTGGTTACCCATGGCGGCTAGTCAAACGCCAATTGCATAAAGTGCTAAACCGGAAGTCAAGACCCACAACGGAGTGCATAGGGATGGTAGGAATTCCGTAGAAGGAATGCACTTCAGAGGCAATTCGGAGGGTACTAAACAAGTAAAATATAAGGGCGATCTTTCAGAGAGGTCGAAGGTTGCGTTCGGCGCTGGTACACCTGAAGGACCCCCTTCCCAATGATAGGACAACTAACTCTATAAAATTAAATGTAAGGACTGTGCACATGTGTACCTAGGCCAAACAGCGAGAGAATTACTCACACGAATTTCAGATGGCAGTGTCGAACCACCCGAACATCCTTAGACGCGACTAACGTGTTGGTCAGTGGTTTTGAGCACCCAAAAGGACTGCTTTGAACAGCCGAAGTAATAATAATAATACCAATAATAATACATATATTTCTCTTGATGAAAGAAACTGTGTCCTTAGCGGCACAGGTCAATTTGTACTGAAGAATCCATGCTCTTGCATGGGTGACATGCATAGGTGGAGTATTGGGATATGCGTTTCAAGTATTAACATCCTCGGATGTTTGAGGCTAAAGCCAAGGTATGAAAACATTGATGTTTAGATGTATTTGGGCCCCTCTTGGAATAGCTTATCGAGGGATTTTCCCATGTGAATATAGAGCTTAGGGTAGTTAGATCAAGGTAATTGGCGAATCTGCTTCTAAATGTTGTCACATGACCTGAGTGTTATTGGTACTTTATCCCACAGCTATATCTGACCAGGAAGCAATTAGAGCGGACGTTTGTTCAAGCCTTCAATATATTCAATGTAAAATCTTTGTTGCGAAGCGCTGGAGTTGAGCAGTGTCCTAAATTGAGTGTAGGCAGGTTGGAATAGGTCATTATGTGTAACATGTTGAAAAGCAGCAACAAGTCGTGCTTCAGTCGTCGAATCTAAAGTGGTTCGAGATGAAGTTCATTGCATCGTTCTCGATAACTCATAGCAGAGTGCTTATCAATCAGATCTTTAGTAAATGAGCTCTGCAGGTTCTCAACAGCAATTCTGTCACTCTTTCTCATATTTCCATATATTATGCCGCATTATTCAAGGATAGGGCGAGTGAGTAGCTTGAAAACCTCAACTCTAGCACGAGTTGTGTGTATCTTGCATCACCACCCGAAGCTCGCGCTTCTGTAAGGGGTTTACAAGATGTGGTCT